CTAGATTTGATATATATATATGGAGGTGATATGCATGCAAATGTCATAAAAATAATTTTTTGGCTTTCTAGTACCCTTCCTTCCCACATGAGCCCCACCTATGGCTTCGTCCCTCCTTCGCTGAAACTCTTTGTAAATGTAAGAAATATTTATCAAATGACACGCAGTCCCACATTTCTCTAGCCCAAAGTCCCCCTCTCTACTTGAATTAATCCTACACATTGAATTTTGAAAAAAAATCTTTAGCTACTCTCTCTTTAGAGTTAGAAATGAAAGACATTTCTTCTCAAAACCAACATGATGCTAGTCACACACCGCGCGACCTATACACTTAATTTGGTTTTATTTCCTCTTAAAAAAGTTAAAAATAAAAAAAATAAATTATAAATTAATTGTATTATTCAATTTATTAAATTTTAATAAGTTATTCAAGTAGAACATAGCCTAATTAAAAAAAAAATCAAGTTGAATAAGAATATACTTTTAACGAGTAATTTTAAACACAATTGAACCAAAAAAAAAAAAAAAAAAAAAAAAAAAACAAATAAGCCATAGGCTTTGATTCATTTACACCCCTACTTAGATGAAATTCATGGACAATCTCAGATTCAAAATATATATTAAAATTATTTTAAGATTTGAATAATACATGCATGTAAATATGATAATTTTGATGAGATCTATGTGAATACATAAGAGTTATGTGCTACAAATTTCCTATAATTCCAAACTGCAACTTATTGAATAATCAGCTCATAATCTAGGTGCGGTTGTTATCACAATTTTTTTTTTTTGAAATGTCAAACCTCAGTCAGAAAGCTTTAACCTCACCTAAATAAGGGCAGTGTGAAATCATTATTTATAACGTTTTGAAAATACATAAACTGTCAAAATGCATTTTACACGAACAAACGGGCGCACCCACACCAAATAAGCTGCACCAAGTGAATATGAAAAATTATCATCGACGTTAAGTAAACTTTTATTTTCTTCCAAATATATTTTGAAGGCCATTTCCTTGATGCAACAGCAAGGGTCAAAAAATGGATATTAGGTTTTACTTGGATGCTCAGGCCTTATCCCCTCTCGCCGCCTCTGCTCCATCTTTCTCTGTTATCGCGGCATAAAAGATAGGAGGAAGAAGCTAACATATATTTTTCTGCACAGTGGGAGATATAGGGAAGAGGATTGATGTCTGCGAACGCTAATCTTTGGGTTCTTCTGGGTCTCGGCATTGCCGGCATACTGATCGTGACCCGAAAGCTGAAGCGGGTTGTTAAGGAGGACCTGGGCGCGTTCGTTGAGCGGTTTGAGCTCCTCCCTCCTCCACAGCCCGCTCCGCCCAAAGCCCCTCATCCCCTCAATGGCCTCACCTTTGCTGTCGCAGATGTGTAAGTGCTTCTACTTCTCTTGTCCACTTTTTGGAATTTCTTCTCTTAGAGTTTCGTTTGGTTCATCTTCCGCAATTATACTTTTCTGTTTGAATTGTTTTTATTTGCAAGATAGGGGTAGTTGTGGAGCAATCGCAATTGGTCGGATAATGCCGAGTAAATGGAATTCAATTGAAAATCATATTCCCTATTCCTCGACCATGGTTTTTGGCGTACCAGAGATTGAAACACTTTCTTAGAGAGATTTATGCACATGCTGCTGTAGTATTTGTTATTTACAAAATTAACATCATGCCTTTGAAATGAACCATTGAATTAATGTATTCGCACTTGCTACAATACAACCATTTAAATTTTAATGTAAACAAAAAATATTTTTGAGTGATATTATTGTTAACCGATGTAGTCGAATGTGAGTTTTGTAAATAGGTTTTATTTGGTTGTTCTGTAAGTAATTGCTCCAAAATCTTATAAATTTGTATGTTTTTTTAATTGTTTAGTTCTTAATTAATAAAGCCAACGAGATAATGTATTTTTAGTGATTTCTTAGAAGATATGAACCAATTTTGTTAGGTGAGCGAAACTTCAAATATGATATTTGTTTCACTAATCTGTATTTGGTTTTGCCTAAAAATTTCGTTATAGAGATTATTTTTTCTTTGACTAGAATTGTTTTATTTTCACTTGGAGGAGGCTAGAGTTTGATGGAGTGTCATTACTACCATGTTATGTTTTTGAGGCCTTCTAATGGATGCCTTTTTTTTTCTTGGTACTATGAGATATTTGGTTTTTTTTTAATAAACCAACTATTAGATTCCATGTTTATGTTGAAATCTCAAATGCGTAAAATCCTATGCTCAACTCAAATGTAATAAACCATTTATATATGGAATGCATTTTAAGGGTTTCTCTTTGGGGCCGTATGAAGTGCATATTGATCGGAATCCTTTAGTTTTTTTTCATTAGAATTGAGTCTAAGCTTAAAAATGTGTAGAATATAATGTTAATTTGGGCAGTTGCTTCATCATGTTTATGTTAACTCAATTTTGGGACAAATTTGGGCATGAACTTCCCTGAAATGCCCATGGATCGTTCAAGTTTTAACTCTTTTTCAGTACAATGAACTTTTGTTAGGCATGTTTAGCCTCTTCGTCATCACCAACGAGGTGACAAATGCATCCCTTCCTTCGTCTTAGTATTGACAACAATACTATTTGCTCCATCATCTTCAACTCTGGTGGGGTTTAGTCTGCTGAAATCAACCAATCTTTGTTATTGCCTTAATTGGTCATGTGATTGAACTATAGGAGATTAGTTGTTTGAGTTGGGATTGACGAACCACTCTCTATAAACACTAATATCATCCCCTCTGATTTTTGACATTACGGACCAGTCCTTCAAAAATAAACACCTTTATTCATCAAAGATCAATGAAATAGAGAATTTTCATGTTCATCTAGTTGAGCTTACATCTTCATCATGCTAGGATGAATGGTGGAGTTTTGCATGAGTTTAGTTGCCATCAAATGGAAACACTTGAAGAAGTCTATTATCTTGGACATAGTGCAAACTTGAGGCGGAATTGATCTACAAAGAAGCACAACTCTTTTTTCATGATGTTGCTCTGACCCTCTACCCATCTTGGAAACTTAACTTAATACGATCGTGCAAATTGTATTGTTCAATGATCTCCTTCATCATCCCACTCCGTCATCACAATGGGGAGTTGAACGAGCATTTAATACACATCATTCCACCCTCCCAGATGTGTTAATCATTGACGTGGCTGACATCGCATGCATTACATTGCACACCATTTATAAAAAAAATTCTTTATTTTTTTTTTAATTTGTGTTCGGCCGGTCTCTTTGAACTGGTCAACCAGATTTGTTTATCTTCCCTAATTGGTTGAGCAGATTTGATAATCTACCTTTTGCTATCACTTGAGCTCTATTTTTCCTACTTTTGAATTTTCTTTTATTAAGTCATCTTCTCTCTTTGTGAAATGATGAAACAATGAGTCATGAGTTAGATTTGTACCTTTTCATTTGAAAAATTTTTGGGTATTTGTTGCAAAGTTGATTAGGCATGGTTTTGAAACCACTTTAGGTCTGTTATGGATTAAGCTCTCACACAATTAACACAGGGAAAATGAAAGAAACATAAGTTGAAAATGAACACTGAGAATCTCTATTTCGAATTAAAGAGTAATTAATTGAAGACTACTCACCCAAATTTAATAAGAAAAGGTAGATAAAAACGAAAGATTAACAATGGCCTTTGACTTTTTAGACTGCTCGTTCAAACCCAATCAATCATCTTGCTGGTCACTCTTGATGTTATGGATTGAGCTATAAAAAATTTGATTAGTTGACCGTTCTCATTTTGCTATGACATTAGAGGAGTGTATGTCTCATGCATAGGATTGAAAAAGTGGGGAAAAATATAACACCACATTTTTTTTTCACAGTCATAACCATTAGCATTTTGCATGTTCGAGCTTGATGCATCAATTTTGTTCAAATGTCCAACGGTGGCTGTGCTCATACATTTTCAGACATAGCAAGAATTGCCATCACCTATATGCTCCATCGTGGGATTAACATGAGGCATCTTGCAGTACAGCCTATCATCCATCTTAAATATTCTCTTGGTTTCTCTGACACTCATCTGCAACTTTTGACTTCTAATTGTTGCATGTAACCATCTCTCAGCCGGTTTGACCAACAATACATGACACAGGGCATCCATTGAATCTTCTCTGGAATCTATTGGCTCTGAGTTTCAACTTCAATATCTACATTCTTGCATCCATCAGATTTATTGCGAAGATTCCCTCTCTTCACCGCCTCCTCTTATAAACTAGCTCATCTCAGATCTTGTTGGATGCTAAGCATTGGATACCTGTTGAGAATGAATTCTTTACCTTACCCTTGTAAAATATCACCTCTTTCATAAATATTTCTCTTTAAAGTCTGGGGGGCAATGAAGCTCGAAATCCTTGGCTGAAGAAGTGAAAATTTTCTACCCATCTGTACAATGAACGTAGACCAAGACATCTGGGTCACTTAAAATTTCTTGCTTTATTTTTAATTGTCTTTAAAATGCTGTTTTTGGGAAAGTATATTTGAAACTGTGGTTGAGAAATTGCATTTAAAAGGTAAAGCAGAACTATATTGCCCCAAACAAAACATTATAGTGTGTTGGGAATAACTTCTATGTTCAATTTGCATTGAATAGTTTTTATTCTGTCATGACTAAGTTTTTTTTTTCTGGACTGAAAGGGAAATCTGCTAAATTCACTAAAGGCAATATTTTATCTTGGTAAATATTTGCATAACTTGATGCGCTATTCAAACAATTAACTGGTAGCTAAAACAGAATGATAATTTGCAGTTTCAAATACTATGTTTAGTTGCAGAACATAATAACCTGGACTGTCCTAAAAAATCTTTAATTTTAGTTGGATTTTTCTTACTAAATATTTGATAAATCAAACTTTTACCTGTAATTGCATTTTTAAACATGAATGTTCTTAATATTAACCGTTAGCTTGTGTAGTTTGGAGAATGTTTTCTCATTATTTAACCGTTTGGTTTTAATGATCCTTATCAAATGTTTATATACTATATCAGCTGTTTTTTCTAGCTGCCCCAATAGTATCCCTTTTATCTGCAATTTCTTATATTTTTTAGACCTGTAAACACTCTATTGCCGACCTCTTCAGATTCATTTCTTATCATCTTGGGATTTTCTTATTTCAGTATCATTCTTGGGATTATTCAAATTTTAATTTTCTTGCATCTAGATTTGATATAGAAGGACATGTAACGGGGTTTGGCAATCCAGACTGGGCAAGAACTCATGAAGCTGCAATGCACACTTCCTCTTTGGTTGCCACCCTCATAGATGGAGGTGCTACATGTGTTGGCAAAACAGTCATTGATGACATGGCTTTTAGGTAAGACAGACCATTTTTTGCTAGATTACTTTCTCTTTATTTCACAATGTGCTACTAATTCCTTTATTTTTGCATATTATTGGTTTTAATTTTTACCGATTTATACAACTAGTTGAACTTTTATTCTATCTTTTTAATTATGTAGTCTTTCTCATTCTAATAATTTGTCTGATGTTATTACATGATTTCAAAATTAAATTTTGTCAGTTTAAGTGGCGTGAATAAATATTTTGGCACACCGATGAATCCTAAGGCACCTGATCGAGTCCCTGGAGGATGTTCAAGTGGATCAGCTGTCGCTGTTGCTGGTGGCTTGGTAGATTTTGCATTGGGTAAGCTTCTTCAGTAGAATCCTGTATGCAGAAAGTGCACTTATATTTTTAAACTTCCATTGTGATGATGATGAACTACTGAAATGATTTTTATGAAGCCATTTATATAGTTTTATTTTGTAGTTGTTTTGGTTTAGTTTCAGTTGATCAATAGCTCATTAGTATTTTTAGTTTTGACTGGGTCTTGAATTTTGACAAAATTGAAGTGTTTTTGTGGATTTTTGGTAAAGTCCAACGTTTATGGCCAACATTATATATTTATAGTGAATTTTAATAAAACTCTTGGGTAGTCACCAAGTTATACTATGCTTTTATCAACAAGGTTCATTAATTTTTCACGTGTATTTTACCTTGAATTTCATTCAGACATGTTTCTTTGTTTTATTCCATTAAATATTCTTTTTTAATATTTTATCTTGAAGGACAATTGAGTTTTGATATCGACAAACCTATTGAAATAAAATTTTAAGACAAGGCCAAACTAAAATCAAAATCGAGTTTCAAAACCTTATTTTAAAAGCATTTTTTGTCTAACTAATGTCCTGGTGTTTACTTTTGCTTTTGTAATAAATGCTGAGTTCTTCATTTAAAAATTAAAAAATTATACTTTTTAGCTGATTATTTACTTAGTTATTAGGCGAAGAAGCTTGTTTGTGATATTTTTGTATTTTGGTTATGCTTCCAATCATTGAAGCTTCAGTTTTTTCTTCTTATAGAAGACATATATCCTTACTACTTTTTAGCTGCTTGATAAATACTCATGAGTGAAGTTGTGGTCCAAAAAAGAAAAAAAATGTTGATGATATTGGTTGTTGTTTGGGCTTTTTTATGTAAAAAAGCTCTATCTTGAATTGGTTAGATAAACATGGGAAGAATGTTAAGAAAGAGGGAGTTATCATAATTTTTTCTTAGAGTAAAAATCCATTGAAAATATAAAATTAGATAGGAGTTAAATTTTTCATTTGAAGGTGACTTAAAAATTTACGTATCAATGTTGCCATCTCCCTTCATTAAAAAAAAGATAAAATTTTCTTGTCTTTTGAATCGAGGATTTTGGCTTAGATTAAAATATAGATTTTGATTTCATTGGTTGATTCATCATTTATGACAATATCTAGGCACCATTGTTTCTTTCATTATTAAGTCTTTGCTTATTAGTTCTCCATTCTTTCTTGTTGGAACTAGTCATCTTAGTGGTTCTTTTTGTCTTGCTCGTCTGCAAGTCCTTATATGTTCTTAACTAGCTTTTATTGGCAGCATAGGAGCTTCTTGTTCAAAGTTTTTCTGGAGAATGCTTATCATTGCTTTAACTTAACACTCTTGTTTTGCATAAGTTCTGCCTCTTAGGATCTGTTTGGGACACCTTTTTGGTTGCTTAGTTTTTCAGATCATCACCATATTCAGATGCTGCTTTATTGCTGTTTGGTAGAAATTTTTATGGGAGAAGACTATTTTTTTCAACCAAACCTGTTAAATTGTGGTGACTGTTTGAAAGCTTCAGTTAGACTTTTTGAATTTAAAGTAAATTTGTAATAATAACCGTAATTTTTTGAACAATAGCTTCTTCAACAGCAGCTTCACAGCGCAACTGCCCCAAACAGACCCTTACTGTCTAGTTGGTATCTCATTGAACGAGTATATTCTTTATTTTTTATTATATCATTTTTCTATTTATATCATTTATATCTTTGATTCTGTTTTTATTTTTTGGCTTGTGAATAGTTGAAAATTACTATGATTGACATATCATTATATTTGTTGAAAAAGATCCCGTAAGGTGGTTTAAGTTTGATTATACATACATGTGTGTGCGGGTGTGCGCGTGCGCATGGTCTTCAAGTTAAATTCTTTTTATTATATACAACATGAAAATACAACAATAAAACTATGTCATGTGCATTATGGAATATGATTTAAGTTTTTGATTATGTATGTGTCTTTAAGTTAAATTGTAATCATTTTACACAATATGGAATTGCAACAATAAAAAATATAATTTAAATAAATAAAGATTGAATAATTAGATTTTTTTTTTCACTTTTTCCATGACTTGTAATATTTTTTTAATGATTGTGAAATGTCTAGCATTGAGAGCTGATCTATTTAATATCTCTAACTCAATAATTTTAATAGCTTTAAAATTACCATCTCATCCCAATTTTAGCTTTTCTATTTTTAATAATAATAAAAAAAAACTATTTGAAACATCCATTACAGATTGTTGGGTTACAACTGTCAACTAGGCAAACAAGAAATTAAATTTTTTAATTAAAAAAATGTACATGTGAAAAATCTCATTTTTATCAAATGATTTGCTCTCCTTTCAAATTCATATTTACGAAGCCTCCCTTAGAAGAACTGCGAAGGCTCAATTGCTTTATTTTTAACTAAAATTTATTTGAGTTTAGTATTTTTGTTTACTTTTGATGTGCAACCATCATATAAGTTGAGATTGGAATCAAGTTATTATATAAGTTTTATGTTAACAACTCTCATTAGGCATGTATGGAGAATGTTGATTCATAAAAATGGACTACAAATAATTGGATAAAGCTGATTTGGACCATCTTTAGAAGTTTGTGCAAGAGTGATGTTGGACACGGATTATTTTGCACAATAAAGCCTAAAAATGATGGAGAAACAATTAATATGGTCTATAGAAAAAGGCCCAATTGTTCTAGTTTTGTGGGTATGCTGTTCATGGCTTTGTTCTATGCTATGAACCTGCAAGAGACACAATAACTATTATTTTGTTCTCTAATCCTCTATTCAACTTTAATTTATGACATTTTGATGCCCATGAACTATGATTCTTCAAATGTGCACAAAATTTAACTTTGTAATGTGATTTTGTTAGTAGCCGAGCTATGATTATTTGTTTATAGGCAGAAAATTATTATTTGTTATATGGTGCACACCTTCATCTTGAAGTTTCATTCAAGCTATGATTTTCGCCTGTCATTGTGAATAAATAATCACACAAATATTTCATTTGTAGTATTGTATTCTGTTCAATGTTATAAAAGGTAAATTGAGTGCTTTCCGAAGTGCCTTGTTAAGGCTGTGATGATGTCCTTCAAACCTCATAAGTAGGAACCATTTATAATCCAATTTTCAGGGTGTCAAATAGAGAGATTTTAGCTGGTAATTTGAAAAATAAGCTGGCTTTAATACTGAAAAACTGACCGAAGTTGTTCAAAATAAGGATGCATGCTAAGAAATATGATAAATTAATTGTAGACTTAAAAGTTTCAAGTTCTGTGATCATAAATCTTGATGATGAAGGTAATGAATTTCATTAAGATAGATGAAGAGATGTGATACTACAATCTAAATGTAATGAGGTGGAATATTGCCTAAATAATGGAGAGGAAGAAGTAGATATTCATGAAGACCTAATAATCTCTTGGCTATACATGCCACAATCTTAACATCTACTCTAGATTAGCTGAAATCGTTATTTGGGTACGTCATGCATAATTTTCTTATGCATGATATTGAAATGTTCAATGTAACAAAATTTGATATTTTTTATTATTTTATCTAATATAGTTTAATGTGAGGATTATCATTTTATACAAATTGAACATATTCAATATTGAAATAATTGATAATTATAGAGAATGATTTTGTTTGGGCTAGCGATTAGATTGGTGACTTCGTGCCTTGGGCATTAAGAAACCATATGACCTCGAGGGTGCCTAGCACTTTTGATATCTCTATTTTTCTGAAAAAGTGAAAGAAGGGGCATGTACACACATACTACCCAATTCCTATGTATTTACATATCTAACACCAAACTTCATTTTTTACATTTGTAAATCTTCCGGGAAAAAAAAAACCCACATTGATATTGTATGTTGTCAGTGACATGGTAATGTCTTGATGGATGTATATGCAACCATAGTTTTTTTTTTGACTCCCAGATGCATGCAGGAATGGACTCCGTAGGTGGTGTGAGAGTACCTGCTGCTTTTTGTGGAATTCTGGGCTTTAGACCGTCGCATTCCACCTTGAACAACGGTGTTCTTCACATCTCACCAAGTTTGGATGCCCCTGGTATGTTTTTATGAGTTGCACATCACTCTCTTTGTGGAATTACAGTTGTAATGCGTATGGCATATTTGTTTTGTTACTTGATATTATCTGTTTAGAGAAATTCTTGTTACTGATTCATTGTGAAAATTTTATAGTTTGCCACTGAATATGATATGAAAGAAGTTCATTATTCTCCCATGTGTGTATGGCTGATGAATATTGTGATATTGACAACTTTACTGTGGGAGTCATTAGAATACATCTTTTCATTCTCGTTAGTTTGTTTTGCCAGTTAATTCTACTATTTTACTTCATCCTTGTAGGCTAAATCAAATTGGTCGGTCAAAACTTTTTCTAGCAGAAAGTAACAGTTTTTTTTTTCATCAAGCATACGAGCATCGACATTATTCAGACTGATGAACCCCATGGTCAAGTTCACTTGTCCTTGTCTTTTCTTTAATGGCATCAGGTTGGCTCAAATATTGGAACCTGTATAATAAAATGTGATATGGGTGTAAACGAGTAGAGTTGAGCTCAAGCCACTATCGGCTTTTGGTTTGTTGCTTGATTAATTAATTGAGTTCGAGCTCAAGATTAATTCTATAATTTTGAGCTGACCAAAATGATACCAGAGTTAATCCAAACCATAATTTAAAAAATTAATATTATTACTAAAAATAAAAGAGAAAATACAACAACATGACACCTAAAAATCTGAAATAACAACAAATACGACACAACAAACTCAATTTGGGTGGATCTCGTGATGGTGGTGATTGGAGAGGGTTTTGCCCTCCGGAGAGGTGGCAAAGAGTGGGTGAAGTGCTGAAAGGCGTGGCAGCAGGGAGGAGGAGGACGACAATGAAGGGGAGGAGTTGCAGTAATGGCAACAAGCTGGAAGGAGAGGAACAGATGCTAGGGCGGCTGGAACAACAGAAAACATTAGGAAAAACTTTTTCCAGGCGGCTGTAATGAGGGTGAATGTCGGCGACAATGACGAGGAATTCAGAAGACTGTAGGATAGCAAGAGGATGGCTACCGGGGTGGCAAAAGCGAGGATAGGGGGTTGAAATTGGTGGAGCTGTAGGAAATAACATAAAAAGCTGCTATTCCGGCGGCTACAACAAGGAAGGGACGACGGGGATCGATTTGGGAATGTTGCACTAGTTATGGGAAGGATAATCACTCCCTCAGGTGTGAGATACAACTGGAGCACCACCAAAATCATAAGATGCAATTTTGGAATAAAAAAACGAACTTAGGCGACTGTTCTAAACAAACTCACACCAAAAACTCTTCTCTAAATCCCAATACAATGCATATATAGAAAAGAAATAGAAATGAATTAAAGGAAAGGAGGAAATTTGCTAAAATTGTAAAGAAAATGGAAAAAAAGTTTGTTCAGTTTTGTCTTCACGTGATCGCAAGGGTCATGACTCGCTCCAGTGTCTTGCGCGTAAGCAGGAGGCGATCTCGCTTCAGTCTCCCGGGTTAGGGGAGCTTCGATTTCATTCGTTGATGCTTGTCTCCTCACAGTATGGAGTCATATCAGATATGTTGAAGGTGGTAGAGTTGTTTGCATTGATATGAGCATCGAGTTCCTTCTGTCGACTGCACCGTCTCCTAAAACACCTAAGGAATTTTTCCCACCTGCAAGCAACGATCTATATTGGTCCAATCTTCTGGGGGTACACTACGAAACTGAATTGAGCCTTCCTGCCAAGTATACCCTGCCGAATCTTCCAAAAGTGACTCAAGGTCAGTTCAGTCTGTTATGAAGTGAGGGTAGTCTAAGTGTCCCCGAACGGATGCGACCATGGTGATAAGCTATCAAAGAGGATGTCCTAAAACTCTCTATGTACTGGCTCCCCTATGTCTGGAATCGGCTTTTCTGCCTTGCCATCATGATATCAGAACTAGTAGGGGAAATAATAGAAACACAAAAGGTGAAATTTCATTAATATTAAAATAAGGTTATAACATGGCTCGATTTTAAAGTAGCAACACAAATACAAAACTACACAAGCAAACACTCCTAAATGTATTCCAATGGGTGATGGAAGTCAGCTAGGGAGATATGAATGATTAAGAGGGATGATGACAGTCGCGCGAAGGCAGGTGATGGCGAATGGAATGTGCGAAACTATAAGGACAATAAATGGGAAGATTTGTAGGTGGTCGACAATGGTAGTGGGGTGGCTGGGAGGAGCTTGAAATGAGCTAGAAAGACAGGGCTACTGTAATAATGTGCAAGAAGGGGGATGGTTGTGTGTCGGGGGTGACAAAGAGAGAGAGAGAGAAAGTCGACGACAGAGGAGTGGGGGAGAAGATTCGGGGAAGGTAAAAAGGGAGGATTCAATCACCACCTCAGAGAGGATATAATTAAAGCACCACCATTTCTCAAATACAGTCCACAAAGGGGAAAGAGACTCTACACTGGAGATCTGAAGCTAAACACACCAAGAACCGACTCTCTGCACATAGGGGATGGCAATTTATAGGCTACCCCAGGATGGAGGAAGCTTCTACACAAAAGGAAAAGAGTGGAAAAGGCAAGAAGAGTTCAAAAAGAACTTTCGGGATGCAGTAACCTCGAGACGCATCATTCTGGATCGCGATAATTCGGGATTCTGTGCTGCTTTGTCCATTTGCCTTCACGAAATTTTTCTGGCAGTCGCGCGTGGCTTCGCGCCTTATCCTATCTTCGCAGGATTCCTCCCAGGGATGCAGGTTGGTCCCCGCGATATTATGTGCTCGAACCGGGCACTGTTTTAGCTTCCTGAACCGGGTGTTGTTTTAGTGTCTGAAATCGAGTATTGTTTTAACGCTCACATCACATCCTCTGTCATCACCAAATATGATCCTACTGGTGTTTCTCAGCTGGCAAGGGCACTTATTATCTCAGACTCCACTGAAGGTAAAAGGGCCATGCACTTGTTATCTTTGGTAAAGGATTGTCTTCTTGAACTCGTTATATTGAGTTCGACGATCAAACTGCCACATTCTCCCTAACAAAAGATGACATGCATCCTTCGACATCACGTCACACCATACATGACTTTTCCGCTAGTTCTCAGTTGAAAACTCCACGAGAGATGTCTTGTCAATGTTGATACTATTCTCCTTTTTCAAGCACATCAGAAAATATAGTTTAGAATGCCTATGGTTGTGAGTCTCAATTTGTCCACCATCTGTGTGGATACCACATTCTTGCTGCTCCCTCTATCTACAATGAGACTGCAAACATTCCCATTCACAGTTCACTGAATGCAAAATATATTATGGTGAAGTCACTGCTAATCCCCCATAGCCTCAGTCTGTAGGATCCGTCAAACCACGAGCATCTCGCTCTTATCCGATGAAATATGGTACTCTCTCCCTATTCTTCAACTGCCTCTTTGTCGCTAACTTTCTCTCCTGCCCTCTGCTCGGTGAAGGACACAACTTGGCTTGTCAGGCAACTAGAAGCGATGTCCAAAACTATGCATCTGGAACATGTTCTCGTTGGGGCTGTAGTGTGTGTGTTGCTCTTCTCAGACTAGTTCTCACTCTGAGTGCTCTGTTTTCCTCTTGACAAGTCTGCTCCATTGCATGCTCCTCCTTAGATCTCTAATTGTGGGTGGCTGTTTGATTGACGGTAGTTGTATGCTTTGCTTCTGCCGTCTCTTTACTTTCAGTGTTAAGGTTTGCTCGTCCCTTAGTGTCTAAGAGGTTGCATCCGGGCAACATTACTAATGAAGGGCTTAATGCCTCCCAAGTACCTAACTATGGTGTGCTACTCTGTCTCCTTCGCTTCACACTTCAACTTAAGCTGCTTAAATTATACAGTGTACTCCACCGATAGCTCTTGTTGCAGGAAGTGGAGCTGTAGGAAAATATCGCGATGGTAATGTTGTTGTAGTTACTTTCGCTGCATCACATTCATTTTTATCCCAAGAAGTGATCCCGTCACGTCTTCTCTGTCCCTCCCTCTTTAGGTCCTCCCACCACAAAGAAACTTTCTTTTTTAGTTTGATGGCAACGAGCTTCACTCTTCTATCATCGAGCATCTCTTTGTGCTCAAAGATCTGCTCAAAAGTTCGCATCCACTTGAGGAAATCATCTGGATTCATTCTCCCCTCGAAGTCTGGTAGGCCCACCTGCATTTCCAGATCTTTGTATCCTTCAATAGGCATGCCATTTCTATATCTTTTAACAAACATTCAATATCTGTTTCCTCCAACAAGCATCTTTGTTGTGAAAAACGACGACAATAAAACGAAAAATGGAACGAGAAAAATTTTAAGCAGAAAAAACACCAGGGCGACATACGGATTTACGTGGTTCGACAAATTTGCCTACGTCCACGGAGCTGCAGATGATTTTATTTCTTTGAGGAATTACACCGTCGAGCGATTCGACGTTTACAAAAAAAAATCTCTATTTTCTTCTCTCATTCTCTTCCTTTCTCTCTTAGAAGACTTGGTTTGACCTAACTTGGTTTTGCTTGGCCTGTGGCTTATGACATGCCATAAGAGACTATTTATAGAAATTAGGAGAGCGGTAGGTGGGTGTGGTAGGTGAGCGGTAGGTGAGCGGTAGGTGAGATTCTTAATTAGTAAACTAATTAAATTGCGGTGAACCATGTCTCCATATTACCCGACAATTCTTTCATTTGAAGACCGGGACACTGACTGCATCACCAATTAGTTGCATCATCTACTAGCTGTACCAATTTTTTTCCTCAAACATGATATTCTCCACCTCTGCAACTCAAAGCCCATTTCTTCATGCCAGAAGACTAGCTGAAATCGAATGCAACTTTATTTTCTCACGAGTAACACTCTCAGGTTATATATTACCGTCAACATTGTCTTGTATCAATAAGCTTTTTCTCGGGTAACTCCTGTATCTGCTTACAACTCCCACTGCATAAGCAATATCCCGCTCCTGTTGAACAAGTACAACTTCGTACCTCTTACTGCCATCAATCACAGTCTTTACCCGGTGCACCTACTTATTGTGTAATGCTTTCTTCCATGGTAGAAGTTCTGCCAGTTCCCAAGTCTAATTTCCTGGTAGGGAATCCATCTCCTCCTTCTTGGTCAGCTCCCACTCGCTGGAATTCTTATCTTGCAAGTTTTCTTCATAGCTCTGTGATTCTTCACCATTTGTCTGTACAAGGTTCGGTTTTCCTGCTTTTGACTCTCTACCACTTTTCAAGAAATTGAACTTCTTCTGCTTTCCCATAATACACCTCTGACTCTTATGTCTGTAGTCATATATATTGTGTCAGTTTTCTTACCATAAGCCAGTATTAATGCTTCTTTGGTAACCTTCCAGGTGCTATCTGAGAACACCACCGAATGACCACCCTCATTAAGCTGCCCAATAGAGATGAAATTTTCTTCAACTCAGGAACGTGTTTGACCTTTTGCAAAAGTCATTTGCTCTTGTCAGGGAGTGCAATATCAACGTCTCCTATCCTCCTATCCCCACCACCCACCACGTCCAGAGCTTTTCCATCAGCCATATATACCTTTCCAAAGTTACTAACAACATAATTTCACATTAACTCCCGATGGGAAGATGTATGGAAGGATGTCCCTGAATCCAATTTCCAGTTATCAACAGAACTGTGAACTGCTAGCAATAATGCATAATGTATTTATTTAGTTACAACATTAGCGCCATCATTTCCCTTCTTCTTAGGATTCCTGCAGTTCCTTTTTATGTGGTCAATTTTGACACAATTCCAGCAGGTTGTCTGCTGACCAGACTTTGATTTTGATCTTACTCTGTTTGAGTTCCTGTAATGTGTTCTCTCTCTAGAACCAACACTCAACGCCGAACTTGAACACGAGGCATCGCTAGAATCCTTCCTACGCACCTCGTAAGTCAAAAATCAAATCACGAATATCATCATATTTCAGCTTAGATACCTGCAGAATTACTAACTGTCATCCTCATGACTTCCCAAATATTTGATAATGAAGCCAACAATATCAGCTCATGTATCTCATCATCAAAATCAATTTCAACAGACGATAATTGATTTGTGATAATATTAAAATTATTTAGGTGTAAAGCAACAAACACACATTCCGCCATCTTTAAGTTGAAATTTTTTTTCATCAAATGCACATTGTTATTCGTCGATAGCTTTTCATACATATCTGATAAAGCCGCCATGAGATTTGCAGTAGTCATCTTCTTGATGACATTGTGGGCAACCGATCTCGACAGGATTAATTGAATACCTCAAGAACTTGTCGATCCAACATATTCCATTCCGCCACGTCCATCTTTTTCGGCCGCTTTCCCAGTAACGAAAGATGATATTTCTTCCCATAGAGGTAGTCATCTATCTGCATTTTCCAGTAAGCAAAATCTGTGCCATTGAACTTTTCGATCCCCAATGTCATCACTTCGCCTCTGCCCATCTTTCTTTCTTAGATTCGAACACAAGTCTCTGATACTAGTTGTTGTGAAAAACAACGACAATAAAGTGAAAAATGGAACGAGAAAAATTGCAAGCTGAAAAAATATCAAACCGACACAGATTTACGTGATTCAACAAATTTGCCTATGTCCACGGAGCTGCAGAAGATTTTATTTCTTAGAGAAATTACACCGTCGAGCGCCTCGACGTTTACAATAAAATCTCTATTTTTTTCTCTCTTTTTCTCTTAGAAGACTTGACTTGACCTAGCTTGGCTTTGTTTGGCTTGTGGCTTATGACAAATCATAAGAGATTATTTATAGAAACTAGGAAAGCGGTAGGTGAGAGGTAGGTGAGCGATAGGTGGGTGTGGTAGGTGAGCGGTAGGTGGGTGTGTAGGTGAGTGGGAGGTGAGATTCTTAATTAGGAAGCTAATTAAATTGCGGTGGACCGGGTCTTCACTAATATTGTACTCAAAAGCGCTTCGAAATGGATTTTGGTGTTTTTCTTACTCTTTTTCACTGATTTCACTATTACGGTTTACAGCAATCCAGTCCTAGATTTTTTATTCAATGACATTGAGCTGATGTAGCACTTGATGGAGTAGCTGTTATATGTCATACATGGTAGATTCTTGATCAAATTAAGATAATTTTCTCCTTGGGGGTGTAGTTAGGGTTTTGGATGTAGGCTAGTGGAAGGAGGTGTGTAGGGTGGAGGGAAAGAAATAGTTTTTTGGTTGGGGGGGGGATGCTAGAAACCCTAGGATAAAAGTAGAGTCAGCCTAACTCTAAAACCAAATGATACCGGAGTTAACCCAAACCACAATCAGAAAAACATATGTTATTGCTGAAAGTGCATAAACGGTTACAACCAACACTCTTGAAAGGGAAAATACAACAACATTACACCCAAAAATCTGAAATAATAATCGACACGACACAACAAACTCAAACTGGGTGGATCTCGAGGTGGTGGTGGTGATCGGTTTGGTCCTTCAGAGAGATAGCAAAAAGTAAGTGAAGGACTGAAAGGTTTGGCAGCGGCAAAGGAGGATTTCGACGGTGAAGGGGAGGAGTTGCTGTAATGGCAACATGCTAGAAGGAAAGGATTAGATGGTTGGGCGGTTAGAACAACATAAATTAGCAAAACAAAAAAAAAGTTTCCGGGCAGTTGCAACTAGGGTGGAATGTTGGTGTTAGCGACAGGGAATGCAGGAGACTGCAACATAGTAAGAGGATGGCTGTCTAAGGTGGCGGAAGCTAGGACAGGTGGTTGGAAGCCTGTAATTAGTGAAACTGCAGGAAAAAACAACCAAAACTGTTATTCCAGTGGTTGCAGCAGGGAAGGGATGACTGGGATCAATGTGGGAATGTTGTAGAAGGTTAGTTGTAGGATAATCACTACTTTGGGAGTAAGATACAGTTAGAGCATCAGCCAAACCCTATAATACAATCTTCAAATGCAGAAAGGGATGTTGGCCGTTGTCTTAAACAAATTCATGCAAAAAACCTTAATACAACACACATAAATATGAAAGGAATAGGAAGGAATGAAAGGAAAAAAAAAAGATGCTAAAATTAGAAAGGAAACAAAAATAGTGCCTCTCGGGTCTGTCTTTGCACGACCACGGAAGCCGTTGCTCTCTCCGCGTCATTCAAGCCGGCTTGTTTATTATGAAAGAGAGAAAATAATGTCAATTCAAGCTAGTGTTACAATAAAATGATAAATTGAATGAACAATTAAGAGATAAATACAAAAAAGTTAGTTGATATAAATATAAAATAATATTTTTAAAGATTTTTTAATACTTGAAAGATAATTTGAATTTTAATAAATTTTGAGTATAATTTTTATTAATATTTTTTTTAAATCAGCCCGCTCATGTGTTAACGAGCCAAGCCGGGGCTGGCTTGAGCTTGGCTTGTTTGTTCATCGAGCTCGGGAAGAGTGGTGCTTTTGGAAATAATCGAAGTTCAAATTAGTGAAAAGTTTTATACCACGGCCACAAGAGCCATACCCTTGTTATAAAAAGATTAATTGGCTTCTATGGTGCAATTCTTTCTTGATTATATTGCAGGATGCAAAACAAGAAGCAGCTGATTAATAATTTGTTTTTCTTTTATTTATAGGGTTGTTTGCCAAAGATCCTAATGTCTTGCATCGAGCTGCTCATCTCCTACTCAAACTTCCATATGCTAATGTACGCCAACCTAGACGTGTTGTAATAGCTGATGATCATTTTCAGTTAATGAAAGTTTCTTCTACAAGGATAACACAAGTGGTCACAAAAACTGTTGAGGTGCTATTTGGGAGTAAGTTAATACACATCTATAGTTCTTTTCAGAATTTAGAAATTATTATTTTTATACAAATTTGCTTCAATTTTGGTTTTTTTTATTTATTTATTTTATCATGTACATTTTCTTACTAACGTGGTGTGGTGATATTAGAGCAAAGTTTGAGCCACATCAATGTTGGTGAATATCTTATGTCTAAAGTTCCGAGCTTAAAAAAGTTTGAAGTCGGTGCTGTAAATGGTGATTCAAAATTTTCTCCTTTAACATCACTTGCGAGGGCCATGAAGTTGCTTTGCAAGTGAGTAGATGCCTTGTCCTCTTTTCGAAACATTTTTTGTTGTGGTATGAATGCCAAATGTCTTGAAGTAATTTTTATGGGAAATTTATAGCTATCTCATGCGTACACTTTCATATTTATATACAAAGCAATTTGTTGCTTCAAAAATATGCATGAAAAGGTGTAATCCACTTTTAAAAAGTGGTAATAATTTAATTTTGCATGTAAGATTCAAGTCTATGAGTGTAAATATGAAAGTTTTGTTGTGAGAAATACAAAAGCTTAAGAATTTTGTGCTATGTATGTAATTGTTCCACATTTTTTTTGAAGTTAACTAATCATAATCGAATGTTTAATATTTGCTTCTATGGGTTTGCAATTGCAAGTTTGTGTTTCTCAAACGCAGGGAGCGTTTTAAGTGATAGTAAAATATTATCATCCCGTTTTCTTGTTCAATATTTCTTTAGAGTATTTATCTCTGTTAGGTAATTGCAAGATTTCTTGGATCTAGGCAATTTGTTGAGATTCTAATTTGTTTCATGATCACTCTCATCCTTCTTTGAGGGCTCTTACGAATATGAAAGAACGCATTAACCCCTATGTTTGGTTCTTAGGCCAAGCAAGTGCTAGGAGACTAATATATTTATATCAAAAGCAAGCTAGGGTGTTTTTATATCGTAATTCCACAATAGTTTATATGGATCTGTATTGTAGTATCACTAGTGGAATTTTTCGATCCCTAATTTATTGTTGGATGGTTTATTTTTTTGTTATATATCAAGGCAATCTTAATAGAATAACAATATAATGAAATATGCCAACAATGACAGATGCTTTTACTGGGATTTTCAAATTTCATGCCTGTCATTTCTTTCTTATTTATATATTAGACATCTAATGCTTCTTATTTGCTGATACCAGAAATTTCTCAAAGACAAGAAGCCATCACTGTTAAACATTTGTTTTTTTTCAAAATCCCTATAATTTATTTCTTTTCATAGAATTGAGGCATCTTTTGTGATCTTTTAACCATTATTCGATTAGATCGGCGCCTATAGCGCCGTCCGCCTCGTACTCCACTATGTTGATTGCAAGACTTCCAAATAATTTGAAGACCTACGTTAGGCACAAGGCTAAAGGGGCAATTTAATCATTTGCTAGTTATTATTATTGGTTATAAACGAGGCTTAATATGTTTAGGGTTATGTCATATGTGATTGCTGCCTTCAATCTTAGGGTTAGGATTTGGGAGAGAATTTCCTACCCCTTGAATTGTAGGTTTATCTTTTATGTGTTTGGGTTGTGTTTTTTTTTTTGCTGGTGAAGTAAAATATTCTTTTTAGCCCTAATCTTTGTGGAAGCTCGTCTCCTTTATATTAAATTGATATTATCGCATTCGAGGCCGTTGCTATGCTACAAATCTCTTGTCCCCATTTGAGGCCGTTGGCTCCATCTCCATCTTAGCGATTGTCTCGCTTTTGTCCCGTTGTTTTGCCTTCGTAACCTAACCTCATGATATAATTGTGATTCGAGCTAGCTGGGAAGCCAATGACGGGATCGCAGTGTCAGCTTCATGACTGAGCCTCACAATACAGTCGTGATTCGACCTAGTTGGAAAGCCAACAATGGGATCACGATGTATAAAAGTTCCACCTTTATGATAAAAACCCATCCTGGGAGTAATGATAGCCATGAAAGTAGATGCTTTGGAGGGGAAACTAGAGAGGGGTGAGCCAAATCAGATCTGGAATAAATGAGTGTTTCTCATCCATGGAGGGGGAGATTCATAACCCTGGAAGAAATGATGAAGCGGATCACAAATTTTCAAGCAAACATGTCGTTGCGTGCTATTGGAACAAATGATGACATCTTGCAATTAGAAGGATTTGCATGGTATCAGGGCGGCGTCACTGCCTTAGGTGATTTGGAGCCACAGGATCCAGTGAAGGAATCAAGAGTGGATTTGAGCGACAACATTTGGAGGGAATCATATGATCGTTTGAGAGATATATCATAAGTATGTTGGAAGGAAACTTCATGAAGGGTTTGAAGTCAGAGATTCGAGCAGCACTTGTTTGTCGAGACCGAGATGATTGAGGGAAATTATGGAATTAGCTCAATCAATTGAAGATAAAAATGTAATAGAATGAACTAATATAAGCAATGCATTTAGAGCGCCATATCAAAGTATTACAATCATGTCGGTACAAAAATTCAAACGTTGGAATTATAAAGAGAGGCTCCACACGACAGGAATAACTGGCCATGACAAGGAGGGACCTTAAAACACTTTGTAGAGATTGAAATTCAAGGAAAGCGAATGAAGAGATTATTTTTTCAGTATGATGAGTAGTTTGCACCGAAATACCATTGTAAGGATCAAGTATTGCAGGCTCTTATAGTGGGTGACGAGGATGAGACGTGGGATGAAGAAACAGTGGAGGTTTTGTTGAGGGGAGCACCCTCACTTGGATGGCGATATTCTCATGTAACTCGGTGATGGGGTTCACACCGAACCACATCATGAAACTTCGGGGGTAGATTGGAGAACATGAAGTAGTGGTGTTGGTAGATTGCGATGCCAACCACAACTTCATCTCCACTCATCTAGTAGAGAAATTGAGGCTTGAGATGGTTGACATAGGAAACTTTGGAGTAATGATGGAGCCAGGATAAGTGGAGAAGAGCCAAGATGTGGATGAGAACCAAGAGGTTATATTTTCTGTGTGTGATAAATTTGTCTCGGAACACAGCTGTAAGGATTAGACATTGCAGGTTCTTATAGTCTGTGATGAGGTTGAGACATGGGATGAAGAAATAGAGGAGGTTATGGTGGAGGAGGAATACCCTCACTTGAATGGAAAAATTTTTATTGAACTCGGTTTTGGGGTTCACACCGAACCACATCATGAAACTTCGGGGACAGATTAGAGAGCATGAAGTAGTGGTGTTGGTAGAGAGCGAGCCACCCATGACGTCATCTCCACTCATATAGTGGAGAACTTCAAGCTTGAAATGATTGACACAAGAAGCTTTGGAGTGCTGATGTGGATTGGACAGGTGGAGAAGAGCATGGGAGTTTTTAAATGGTTAATTTTGACACTACAAAATATTCAGGTGGTGAAGGGCTTTGTTCCCTTAGATTTAGGAAGCACTGATGCTATATTGGGTAAGAAATTGTTGCAGTCTTTAGGGCAATCGGATGAATTGAAAACTCTTGACAATGGAGTTTTAGGACAAAGATGTGGCAGTAGTACTTAGCGGTGACCCCAGTTTGTGCAAGTCTTTTGGTGATACTTAAGACCATTAGTTAGGGTAATTTAAGACATAAAATTATGATTCTTGATCGAGTTGCATAATATGAAAGAGACACGTGATATGAAGTTGGCAGAGATTACAACATCCGTTTTATATAGGGCTGTCAAAAAAGCTTGTTGTTCGCGAACAACTCGTGTTCGACTCGTTAAAGAGCTCGTGTTTGGCTCGTTCGTTAAGTAAACGAGCCGAACACTAACAAATTTTTAAAGCGCGAATTATAAACGAGCCGAACACGAACAAGTCCTTGTTCGCTCGTGTTCGGCTCGTTTTAGCTCGAAATAAAAAAAAAAAATTATATAACTATTTATATAACAATATATTACATATATTATTTATATAATAATATATTATATATATTTATGTCTAAGTTTAAATCATAACACCTCATGTGACAATGTGGTTAATACATTCTTTTGTATATATTTGATCCAGGTTCGAATCCCACACTTTACATCTATTTTTCGCAATTTAAGTTTAACCAGCCAATTTCGAGCCGAACACGAGTCGAACACGAACACAAATATTTTAATCGAGCCGAACACGGACACTGTTCGCGAGCCGATTTTAAACACGAGCCGATTTCGAACACGAGCTATTTCGAACGATCCGAACACGAGCCAAGCCTAAGCTCGCTCAAGCTCGGCTCCCTTACTGCCGTAGTTCTATGGGCCTTACAACAATTTGCAAAAGTTTTTGAGTTACCATGGAGGAAACACGAGTATGCGTTAACTCTGAGGCTGGGGGTCTCTCCCATCCGTGTGTGCCCATATTGTTACCGTAAGTGTAGATGGAAGAAATCGCGAGATTGATTCGAGACACCTTGCCAAAATCGAAGGGGCATTTATTGAAAGCACAATAACTCATGAAGAAATAACACAGACATTGAATGAATGTGCAGTTTGTGGTAGGAGATAGAGTGTATCTAATATTTTGGCCCTATTAGTAGAAGGCATTGGCCAAATGCAGGAATGAGAAGCCTCCCCATGCTATTTTGGTCTTTATGAGATCACCGAGTGCATTGGCGCGGTGGCTTATCGTTTAAAGTTTTTGCTTTCATCGATACTCCATTCAATGTTCCACGTATCACAGTTGAGATGTGTTATTGGTGATAATGCATCCTTTTCTTCACCTTCCCCTACTTTGACGGAGGATATGGAAGTTCTCTTGGAGCCATTTGAGTTAAAAATGCATGCTAGGAATCAACAGGTGGGAAAGAAATGCTGATTAAATGTAAATGATTGTCAGATTGCAACGCCACGTGGGAACCATACAACTTGATCCAACAACAATTAATCTCTTCCATCGTGAAGATATTGTGTCTTTTTGAGAGGTGAGTAATGTTAGACTAGCTGTTGCTGCGCCGTCTGCTTTGTGCTCCGCTTAGTCGACACTGAGCCCGCCAAATAATTTGAAGACATGTTAGACATAAAGACTAAAATGACATTTTAGTCATTTCTTAATTATTTTTGTGGGTTATATATAGGACTTAATATGTTTAGGGTTATGTTATGTGTGATTGTTGTCTCGAATCTTAGGTTTTGGGTTTGGAAGAGAATTTCTTACATCTCTGACGAGAGGTTTATCTTTTATGTATTTGGGTTGTGTTGATTTGTATTGATGAAGTAAAATTTTTTCTTTTCCCAAATCTCTGTGACAGTTCGTCTCCTTCTTGTCATATTCCTTCCCCTTCCCTCTTTTGTGCATGCTAGGCTTATTGAAACCTCTGCCAAACCACGAAATGGTCACAGGGCCACCTTTGGATTGTCATTAACATAGGAATGCCGCTAATCAAGGTCATTTGATTTCAAACCATTGGTGGATAGCTGCGAACCTCTTTCAGTTGTTTGATCGTTGCCCACTACCACTTGTCGAACCATCATTGGATCCTAAGTCAATGGTTGTGGTTGAGGACGATTTAAAGGATGGTTGGATGCTTGCTACTTGTTTTAGTAAGAGTTAACACCATTATGAGTAGTTTGGTTGCTAGATTGATGTTTTTATCGAATGGGAAATTGCTAATTTAAAATAAGAGATATTTCAATCATCTCTGATAGTCTTAGGGGCTGTTTGATAGTGCCGCTCTAATAGGATTTACATTGGATTTATGAATTTAGCTTAAATCCATCCAAATGGTTAAATATACACATGCTGAATCCAGCAACAGTTAAATCTGAAGTTCTTCTCGTTTCCCCCTTAAATATGGATTTATTAAATCCAATAGTTTGACTGGTTTGATAAATCTGGATTTACAGGATTTATTAAATCCTATTTAAGTTAAATCCTGCTTGCAATCAAACAACCCTTTAAAGTTGAAAACTGCACTGAGGGTGTCAAAGCACAAGAACTAGCATTCACAATCACAAGTTAGAACTAGTGTTCTAGATAAATAACATAATTATATCAATATTCTAAGAAAATAATCTAAGACTGAAATTAAAATCTGTACTTTATTGACTGGTAAAATAAATTTGAGAAAAATAAAATAGCATAATGATAATCAGTTTTTAATATGCCCTTGAACTATTCTAGGTTAAAAATCTGTCAAAAACTTGCAAAATATGTTTAAAATCGTTATGGAGATAGAAATTATGGTGCTTTATTTGATGGAAAAAATTATAAGATTAATACTGATAGGAATAAATACATCATCTTCACGTAGACTTCAAAATTCCTGTCCATAGGATTGGAGGAAGAGGAAATGAGTATAATTAATTACTGTGCTGGAAGGACTCCTGCCAAGGATTTGCCGCATGTGCAAAGCCTATACAGAATTGCTCGTCATTTTAAAATCTCTTAAGAATGTTGAAGATGGCTCGGTCTGCTTCATCAGTCAAGGCATTTTCTGTGCTAGCAACTCCATAATTTATTTCCCTTTTTTCTTCAAATTGCATTTATACCTTGGGTTTGCCAAAAAGTATACACCACATCCACATGTTTCTCCTCAAAACTCCTGTCATTTCTTACATTAGCTCTTAATTTTTAACTTTTCTAGTCAAGGCTCCTCCCTTATATCATGAGCATTCTCTCGCTCAGAAGTTTTAGCAGACCGGGGTGGCTTGGCTTCTAAATTTCCCTAACCTTGTTCGTAGGTTTGCCATTTGTATTGAAGGCTGGGATTAGAAGTTTTGCTGAAGAGTTAACATTCCCTGTATGAGCTGGTATCATCTTGATAACTGATTTTTTTAATGTTCTAACTAGTCAACGTTTTCTATTGTCCATGCTCAAAAATAGTTTACATTAAGAGCTCTCATTCTTGAATAAAACTTAACTTTTACCCTTTGTGGGGTGTATACGAGTAATTTGTGCCTTTATTAAAGATTGAAGCTAAAAAATCATTGTAACTGTTGAAGTTGATATTGGGGAATGGACTCTCTCTCTCTCTTACTCTATATTGTAGCTTATTCCTGTTTGTTGCTTTTTACTGATCTCTGAATGAATTCCATTGTAATTGCTCTGTATCTTTGGGTTATATTTTAGCTACTCTTTCGTTCTATTTCCCCCTTTTTTTTTGATTGTATATACAAGTGACCAATTTGCATCTATTAAATCCAGGTATGAATTCAGAACTAATTATGAGAACTGGATAAACTCTGTCAAGCCAACAATTGCTTCTTGTGTATCGGATAATTTGAGTACTCCCCTGGAAGAAAATAGCATCCTTATTGATTGTTGTCAAACTGCAAGGCACGAAGTGCAACTGGCTGTTCATTCTCTTCTGAAGGTATTTAATTCTTTTTGAAGTAATTTTTCCGAAAACTCTATGTGATAGAAGGAAGAGTATAAAACAAACTATAAATTAAATGATTACTTGATAACAAGAAGGAAATATCTATTTTAGGTGACGAGTAACCCCGTTAACTCATTTTGAGTCAAGAATCACATAGCTTAAGTGATTTATTGAGTTTTCTAGAAGTAAGGCTGTAAATGAACCAATGCATTTGATAAACAATTGAACTCGCCTCGATTAAAACTTGATCAAGTTTGTTTAAATTAGCAAATAAATAAGTTTGAACATTTTTTAAAAATTTGAAGGTTAAATGAACTAAACATGAACATAATCAAACTTCTTCATTTATGTTCACAAACAAACTCATTTGTTGTTTAACAAGTAACTTGTTAAATATTTACTATTAATCATGATAATAACTTGTAACATTTATGATATATTATTTAAATAAAATTTGATTAGCTAGGATTTATTTAATTATATATTTAATATTAATATATTATTATATTTATTGACGAAAGATTTTGCATCATGAGTTATTTAATAGTTCAAGTTCATTAAATTTTTTTTGGAATTGTTTCTATATTTTTTTCTATCTTTGAATCCATTCTTCGGAGAAAATATTTATTATAGATACTAGATAAGATCATGTCGGTTAATTCATTTTCTCATCTAATTTATTAAATTGCTCATTTATTTAAATTTATAAAATTATTTATTGAAAAATTTATATGGAAATCTAAATATCCATTTGAGTTTTTAGCTCGTTTAAATACTTGCTCACTTGTCATAAACAAATCAAGTTCAAGTATTAAAAAATTTAAAGAAGACCAGCTTGGACATGTGAAAGCTTGACTTAAGCTCAAGCCAAACATGAAAAATTTATAATTGTACCAAGCCAAGTAGAATTTGGCTCGACTCGACTCGATTACAACCCTAACTATAATTCTAGTAAATCTTAAGGAATGTTGAACTTTTTCTTTTTTCAACTCCCATCACCCCAAAGGAAAATATGATTTGAAACTTTGTATCAAGTCGTGCTTTGATGTTACCATTAAAAGTTCATGATTGTTTAAATTTCAGGTCACTGGAAACTTCAACATGTTGATCATGCAAAATATGCATTATCATATCTAATGAATCAAATTCAACGTTCTTACATAAAGATAAGGTTCATATCACATCCTTGAAATTTTAGGCAGGTTTATTAACAACATGGAAAGACACTATTTCTTTTGGAAGATTTATATTTGACACCAGATTTTGAGTACACCCTAGATAGTACCAGATTTTGAGTACAACCTAGATTTAAAGTAGGAGGAATAATGATTGCCAACTTTATGGGAAAATTTTGATTATTTGCATGACATTCATTTTCTTGATTGTTGGGATCTACAATAGATGATTTCTCTGTTTAGGGTGAGCCTCAAGCCAATTTGAGTATTTGTGATAAAAATTTGATATGATAAACAATTGGAAGGTATGCTTTCAAATTTAATCTTTTTTTCAATAACCACTTGAATCTCCTTTTTGAAAGGAATGGAATGGACATTTGAACCAAGATGCTAGTCATAGGTGGCTTAGGGCTCGTTTGAGAAGACATTATAGCTCCTTTTTGTTGCATAGAACACCGATAATAGGATTCACTTTTGTTTGGTAAAACCACGTCTATGAAAGTTGCTTCAACCAGAACATCGTTTCTTTGCTGTTTGAGATCACGAAATGTCCAGAGCTTTGACCCTCCATTCTGCTGTTTCACAAATGAAAATGTTCAAAATAGCCAATCAAAATGCCAAATAGCATTGGGCTCCGTTTGTAATGCCAGTCCGACGATCTTGCATCTGATGAAAACGACGATGACGGCGATGATGATGAGTTTGTCTTCACGCCGATATTCTCTGTTGCCTCCAACACTTGCCTCGTCGGCATCAGCTTTTGCTCCTTCAACACTAGCGGCATAGGATTAACATACTTGGACATCGAGAGAAACATGTTATCGTAGCAAGCTTATGATTCTCTTTTCTCAACCTCTCGTTCTCCTCCACCAAATTTGTTATACTACCAGGTGTCGGCAACGACGAACTTGATGAAATCACCTGCTTACCTAGCTCCTTCACCAAGTTCATTGGCGATAGAGTTCGATTCACTGGCAATGCCGCAATCAACGTTGAAGCCGCGCTGCCACTGATGAACTTTTCTTTCTCCTATGAATATTGTAGAGTATCTTCTTCTCTCCTCTTCTAATGGAATCATTCTCATACTGCCATCGATTTTCTGCACAATCTTTCTAAACCCTTGTAATTCCGCCCCACTCTTACTACATCAGTTACCAACTTTGATTAAAAAATCGAAGCATCAGTCAAATCTCAAAACAGAAGAGGAAGGAAACTCAAATGGGTGTTGAGCACTTGAGCTGTCGCGCGAAGCAGATAAACTTGTTATGTTTAAAGTATTTGGGAAGAAGATCAGGAGCAAATTTTGCAGGTCACCACACAATGAAGGCGAATCCTTCTATGTTCCACGAGATGACGCAGTCAAGGATTAGATCGTCAACCATTTGATAAATAAAATTAGTATTAGAAACGTTGTTTGTAATTTAAAAATATTAGGGTTATTTTAATTTTTTATATTAGGAAAGCTACAATCTAGGGGTAATAAAAAATTTTTAAGGCTAAAGAACACCAATTTTTCTATTGAAAAGATAGTATCGACTTTAGCAACCGTAACTTTTCACCGTTGTTTTTTTACTAAATTTATTTTTAAACGAACTTTTATGAGAAGAGAAGCTCTCCCAAACAAGCTCTTAGAGAACCTTGCATCAATAGCATCTACTTGTAAATGTTTTGTAAAAATAGAACCATGAGATTAGGCATGTACGTGTAAGAAGTATCATCCAGCAGAGGTTGATTTTACCAATCACCAAAATTAGGCTGATCTTAGTTTTATTCCAATGATCCTAGTATGATATCAATTAGCAGAAACTAAAAATAGCTATCTACTCGGACAAACTTGATCAAGAATTTTCAATTAGATGTTGAAAGCCTAGGGATTAGTTCTCTCCGAATTTGGTATTGTTAGTTTGTTTATAATGCAAATTACTGGCATTCAAATATTTTGATTTAGTCAGATTTTTTCGTGTAACTCAACATTATCTCAAAAACCTAGGGTAACTTACAAGTTAACATAACCTACATTTTTCTCTAGCATAAATTAAATATAAATTGGTTTCATTGAGTTCACTCAATGGATTCTAATGATTACATGAGCTCATATAAATATCATTATCCTATGATCTATCATGTTATTTCAATCTTGACAAATCTACTCATCACTTCTCTCTTTTGGGTAGATTTTCTTAACTTTTAATTGATGACCAATCAATTAAAAGTAACAAAGAATGGGTTGAAAATTATGCAGCAATAATGAAGCACAATGATAAGAAATATTGCATTAAAAATGAACCAATAATGCACAAAGTTGTTACATCTAATCTTTAAAATAATTATAGTTTGTGTTAGAATGAAAGAAAAATATAGAGTACATTATCCTAACCGAAGGTATTAAAAGGTAGGAGATAAAAAGACTTAATGTTGCGGGTTCTTGATTCACACAAACTACCATACTTTTTGTTCTTTTGCACGACTGACCTCTAAGTTCTGCCACAATTGCCTTTCCAAGAGTCTCCAAAAGATCCCCAAAAATCTAATTTTGTCCTATTAATTTCACAATATTTTCTTACAAAATCTCCTTCAAAAATTTTGCAATTTGCGGCACCAAAAACTGTTGAAATTTGCCCTGGACTTATATTAGGCTCCTGAGTTATATCAGGTGCCTGAGCATCGTTTGCTTCAATCTACATGAGGCAAAACTTTGAAAAAATGTGAAACTGGAAATTTGATGCCAGGCTGAGAATTTGAGCACTAAGTTCCCGGTCAAATCCTTTAAAAATGCTTGTTTTGAGTGTTTAGATGGGGAGTTGGGACTAGGATCCTAGCTTCTAAAATTGGGTCTTAGGTGCTTGGAAACTTGGGCCTCAGCTCAAGAACAGCCCGAAGTCTCCTCAATTTGCATCTTTTGCCAGAGTGGCATTGTATGTGTTATTTTTTCAAGTCGCTCAAATGTAATCCTAAAAAATGAGAGTTTACCTATATCAACAAATATATTTAAATTAGTGTAGTGGATTTTTCAATATTAATAAAAAATATCATGAAAATTACAATGTTTTTACACGGTAAAAAGCTACGAAAATGACACTAACAAATACCCCCACATTTATATCTTCACTTCTCCTCAAGCAAAGCGACATTCACAAAACACCGCGGTGAACAACTAGAAAAATGTACAGTACTTTTTATCCAATTTTTTTTCGATCACTTGTGGAAACTTTTTTCAAATAAATTATAATTTTCGGTGTCATAAATGTTATATTGACTTTTGTATTGACATACCCTTATATACTATTTATTATCATGAATAGACAAACTATTGCGGGGAACTCTTAATTCATACACTCTTGATTATCACATAATTACGAGTTAACACATTTTTCTAAATCTTCTATATGCTCAAAAGTCCAATCAAGCATTGCTTGAGACTAAAGTCACTTTGGGAAATCTCATCCAAATCTATGGGCTGATGTGAAGGGATGCTTTTGAGCACCACATCCTATTATATACTAGGTGAACAATAACTTTTTTTCTTTTTTGCCTTATTTTTTGCCTATTGTGGATTATAACTCTCATCCATTTTTTTCATGTTCTTGATATGCCTAACTCAATGACCCACTTTCAATGGAAAACCTTCTAGTTGTTATTTTTGTTCTCACAATTATTCAATTGACATCTACTAAATGTTTTGAAAACATATGATTAACTGCTCTCTTGCATGGATCAGGGGTGTTTGTGTTAGAAGCTAAACTAGTTTAGGGAGACTATTTTCTTATATTTTATCCTTCCCCACATCTGTGGGATTACAAGTTAAGAAGTACTTGCATACCTCGCCTTATATTTAGTTCTAGTACTAATTATTTTAAATTATAAAAAGAAGCATAATGACACTGAGCGAGCGCCATCATGAATGTTGAAGAATGAATGAAACAATGCCTGTATTTTTTTTTTGGAGAAAAATCTATTTAGTTTTCTTCATACTGAAATTTTGTTTTCACTGAAATGGTTTTTTGTCCTCACGGGCCTTTCTTTGCCAAGCATTTTGTCTCTTACTCGATCTCTTTGCAGGATGATGGGATTCTTGTCCTTCCTACAGTACCAGGTCCTCCTCCAAAACTCAACTCAAAGGAAATTTTATCTGAAGATTATCAGATGTGCTTGTTAAATCTCTCAGCTATTTCAAGCATGTCAGGCTGTTGTCAGGTAAGCCTTTTCAAAAGTCTGGTTCACATGAAAAAATGTGTGATAGATGTTTTTATATGTATATTTAAGTGGTATCAAATGGGGTTGGCGGGTCCTGTTTGGGTCTAACCTGAAATTGTCCCGACCCGAAACTACTTGACCCGAGTATTAAATGGGTTAGAAGGTCAACCAAACCTAACCCGCTTTCAACCAACTGGCCTGAACCCAACTCATGTAACACATTTAACATAAGGTATAACAACTATTTGGGACAAATTCAAGTAAACTTCAGATAGATTTTGAGTCATTTCGGGTTGGCGGGCTAATTTTAAGTCAATTTTCTTTTGGTGGGTCAACCAAAACCTTACCCAAAAAACTAAACGGGTTAAAAATCCTAACCAAACCCGACCTGAAGATTTTTCTAGTCGAGTTCAAATTTAGTTGGTGTATGGTGTCAATTTTTTGCACCTCTAATTGTACTTGCTCTCATACACACCTGTTCAACAAATAATGTCCATAAAATGATCTGCTTCATTTCTTCCTCATATTTTTTTAATATTATTTTATGCAGATAACGGTACCCTTAGGATTTCATGAAAAGATTCCTGTGTCAGTATCCTTCATTGCAAGGCATGGAGGTGACCGTTTTCTACTCGACACTGTTCAGGCCATGTACTCCAATCTTCAAGACCAAACCGATATAGTTGTCAAGTCTTCCTCACAAAGCATCAGTTCAACCAAGGAAGAATCTGCAGAAATTGCAAAAGAGAAGGTCCATCTAATTGCTTAAATTAAATTTTAGTTATAGTTTTTGTCTGTGTTCATGGGTTCTTTACATAGTGCTAAGCAACTTACCTTGTGATTAAATATCTGAGTATTTAATATTCAAAATTGGACATTTGGGAAGTGGGGTAACATCATGATAATCATGTTGACGTTTTTGGGGATCACGTGATATTGAGGTGGAAAAAAATGTCTAGCATGATAGAAATAGCCAACCCAAGTTGATGGGATGATTATGCATTGCATCAGAAGAGAACATGGTGTTTATCAATATTTAGGATTCATTTGAGGCTGTTGTAGTTTTTTACAAATGAAATTAGAAAGATGTGAAAATTAATTTTTTAGAGCTGTTGTACATTAGAAATTACACACACACACACACACAGATATATATATATATATATATGAAAAGTAGTAGTTTTCTTGTAGTTGCCACCCTTTAGCAAATTGGATTGTAAAATTAGCTTTCCACCATAAAAAATTCTAGAAAGTAGCTGGAAAGCAATAGTGAAATGAAGGACTAGCAATACTCTAAGAAGAAAAACAGTGAAATAATTGTCCTAAACAAGCACTTATGGCTCGATTGGCATCACTTTTGTTTCTTGTCTTTATTTTTATTTTTATTTTATTATTTTGAAAACATGTTTAATTGGTGTAATTTTTATATATTTTTGTGTTTTGTTTTTAAAAACAAATCATCCCGTCTTTAGAAACACTCAATACACCTGAAAGATGTTCTAAGTATATTCAAAAATACCTACTTCAATCAAACACATGTTTTAATATAAATTAAAACATTTCCTTTATTCTATTTATTTTTTAAGACCAAAACATTTATTCTCTTCCTAAAAAATTCAGAGAAGTAGCAACGAAGGTTGCTAAAAGAACATTTATTGAAAGGAAAGAAACCTATAATTATAAAGAGGAGAAGATTAGATACCCACAACAATGAAGGTTGAGATGGATGCCCCTGATCACACCCTTAGGTTGCGTTTGGGGCAGCTTATTTGCTGCGGTGGCGTTTTGAAAACGTCGCCGCCTCGTTTCAAAAAAACATTCCAGACGCTTCTGCAAAAACACGATTTCATTTTTACGTTAAACGTGGAACGCGGATCTTGCATCGTGGTCCGCATTTCTTTTTAGCGTTTTACCCCGTTGCCCTCTTCAGCCTTCTTCTTTTTTTCTTCTGTCGGTTTCTAAGCAATTGTCTTCTTCTCTACGGTAACATTCTTCTTGGCCTTCGGTGCCATTGAATTTCTGATCGTCGAACGATAATAGCACAGAGACGAGGGCTGGCGAGTTCTTCTTCTTGTCCTGCTTCAAAACCATCGGCGTTTTCCCTCACACCTTACCCGCGCGAGCCAGAGATCCATTTACCTTGGCGCGTTCCTCTGCTGAAATCTTCCTACAGGTGTTCCTCTGTTGAAATCTTCCTACAGGTGTTTCTCGTCTACTATCTAGTGGATGTAGTGAGGAAATCTTCCTCTATTTTCTCACTTTTCTTTCGTGTCCTTGATTCTTGCCATCACGATCTGCTCGTTTCTCACATGAGCACCCTCTTTAACTCCTTTATTAATATTGAGATGGCTACTAATTGAAACAATTCCCTTCCCACTGATCGTTTGATCCCTACCAAAATGAAATTTATTCTGGACCAAAAAGCCTCCATAGACATATCCTAACATTTCATGAGACGCTTAAGACGAATTGCCGGTAATATTCATTAGGGGCTGAATGGTCATTTATTCAGAAACAACTGCAAATCAGTTGTTTTCTAAACGCACAAACCAAACAACCAACCAACTTATCAGGATCAGCTGCAGCTTATCAGGATAAACTGCTTATCAGCATAAGCTGGATGAGCTGTAGCTGCCCCCCAAACAAACCCTTAGTCTCTACTTCCAGGAATCCAAGAGGCCCTAAGAGACAAACCCTATATAGTAACAAGAAGTCAAATCCTACAAGGCTAATGGCACTTTTGCAGCAAGAGTACAAAACCAACGATTATGATGATGAGAAAAGGTATCATCTTTTGCATAATAAATTCAAGATAATAAAACTCGTCACAACTAGGTATCATTAGATCATCTAATAATTATAATTAAAATTGCATATCATATAATAAATGTTAAGCCCATTATCTTTTAAACTCTCTATACTGATCAAGCTTTTCATCAATTTCAAAAAGGTCTAGCACCAAATCATTTGTGAATAAAATAATGTCAGATTTTAGTTTCTAAGTTGCGCCAAGTGTTATATTGACATTCAAATCTCTATCCAAATTTAATTTGGAAACATTTCCTAACATTCACCGACGAGCAGGGACTTGGAAATGCTGTCCATGCCCAATCTTATAGTCTGTTGAGTTGGTGTGAATGACAGATTTTAGGCATGCCAAATCTTTAATATTGTATACTTCTGAGTATATTCATCATCATTCAAAATTTTTAATATTTTTTCAATCTCCACCCAAATTGCCTATAAATCTTACCAGCTCCATGCGACTAACATAATGTTATTTCTTCTCATAACACTTGTGGAGATTTTGTGTTTACAACAAATGGCACATTATAACAGGGCAACAATGCGTACAAAGAGAAACAGTGGCAGAAAGCTATCAACTTATATACTGAAGCAATCAAGCTAAACGGAAAAATGGCTACTTACTACAGTAATCGTGCTGCTGCATATTTGGAATTGGGAAGGTGCTATTTTGCAACCTCATTTTTCTTTTTATTAATTTTTATGGGGCATTTACATTCATAACACATAATTCTTATATATTTACATATCTAGCATCTAAACTTTCATATTTACATGCATAACACTATAAAAAATACCACTATAACTTTCTAAAAGTGAAATACACCTATACTCCTTTCCATTTTTAAGCTTTTAATACCAAGGTGTCTTTAACTGTCAAACTTTAGGTGTTTGATATGTAAATGCATAAGAATTGTGTGGTATGCATGTAAATTTTCCTTTTTTTAGGGGATTTTGAGCCTCACTTCTAATTGGAAAGCAGAGAGCAATGTCACTTCAGCTATTTGTTCTTACTTTTTCTGCTTGCATGGTTAACACCTTTTATTTTTGTTGGTTCAGCTACCTGCAGGCGGAAGCTGATTGCAGCACTGTCATCAGTCTTGACAGAAAGGTAAGATTCTAAAATTGAGAATCTATATATGAAGTTTTAATCCATTTTTTTGTTGTTTAATCTGCACCGTTGAATCCTAGATTGTGAAAATGCTACATTTTTCTGTATGCAGAAATAAATTGGAAGATTTACATACATGCCACTCAATTTCTATGCATTTACTTATCTAACATCTAAACTTTAATTTTAACGTACAGACCACCACCTTATGAAAATTTGTATTTCACTCTTTAAAAGTTGAAGTGATGGTATTTTTTGTATGATATGAAAGGCTTGGGTGGTAAGAATGTTAATAGTGAAGATTAGATGTTAGATATGTCAATGCATAGAAATTGGGTGTTATGTATGTAAATGCACCAAATAATTTTGCCGTCTCTTGGCTAATAATGTTTGTTCTGGCTTGAAGCATACATTGTTTATGATGATCCCTTCTTATGAACTTGCCACCAACTTTCCAAATCTGGCAGGTTTGAGAGCCTACACTAGATAGTTTGATTTTTTCTTTGAGCCAAGAACTTGTTGATGCTCTTTCAGGAGGATTCTTAGAAACATTTAGACATTAAACTTAATCTGTGCAAATTTTTTAATAAACAGAAATATTTCATGGAAATCTCAATAATTGGACGGAAGCTTGTTGCCCGCTCTTTATTTTATCAGTCCCCTACTATTTGTTCTTTCTACACGTTTCTATTTGAAATATATCTGTACAAAAGCTTGATCTGGACGGGAAGTAACCTCACAATTCTTTTATGGCTTTAAAGTACATTAGAGATCTATTTTTTTAACTGCAATTTGTTCATTAAACTTTATTATTCTTGCTTTTTTTTTCCTTTGCAATGCAAGTTATCTCTATCAGAAAAATAAAAATCTAATGACTTCTTACTACCCCTTATACAGAATGTCAAAGCATTTCTAAGAAGAGGGACTGCACGAGAGATGTTGGGCTATTACAAAGAGGCACTAGAAGGTCCCTCTCTCTCTCTCTCTCTCTCTCTCTCCCCGTGTTTTATAGAATCAGAATTTTATTCTGTGTTTACTAGAAAAACTCTGTAATTTTACATATTTAACACCTAAACATTCATGTTTACATTCATACGACTCAAAACTTTAACATCACATCAAAAATGCCACCTCCACATCTCCTTAAAAGTGAAATACATGTCTCATGTAGTGTAAATATCGAACTCTGGGCGTTGGATATGTAAATACATAAGAACTGTCTAAGATTTATGTAAATTTTTCTTATTTCATTCATCTAATCCTTCTATAATCTCGCAGATTTCAGATACGCCCTTGTTCTGGAGCCAACAAACAAAACCGCAAATAGTGCTGTTAATAGATTGAAGAAATTCATTCCTTAGATGCATGCTGGGACAAACCTGAAGGAAATTACCCACACCTGAGGATCCAATACTTATTTTTGGTAAACAGTTACTCTCAGAATTTGAAATCAAGGCTGGATTCTCTTGTTTTTTTTCCAGCACAGCAGTGTTAAAGGTGTTTCAAAGCTTTGGCTTCAATATTGCTGAATCTCAATATGATCTTCTTTCACATCAATTGTCTATTGATTCCTTAGGTTTCTTTTGTTACACTTCTTTGAATGTTTATGTTCATGCCATGTTGTATGAAATAAAATCTTCGTTGGGTGAGAAAATTTTGTTGAACGACTTCCTCAAGTGAAAAACTTATTTGATTTTTCTTATGAATTTGCTTATTGCAGGATTGTTTTGTGTACTGTTCTAGACAGGATTTAACAGTCAATTGTGTATAAGGATTTTTGAGCATTTTGGCAGATTTGATTTTTTGTATTTTTGCCATTCTCATTAGATTATTAGCGCTTTTGGTGATGAATTTAATGTCACATTTTCGCATGACTCTGTTTGATGTTTAGAAAAAAAATAAGGGTTTTTATTCTAGCAAGTGATTCAGTAGTTTTAGTTATAGATTATAAAGGTGTATATATTTTTATAATTGGAGTGTGAGAATGAAATTTTAGGGGCATTTTCATGCATATGACAATTTTTATGTATTGCATATCTATCACTTTTAACTTTCATATTTATATTTATAGCACTCTTTAAGATTTTGTATTACATATTACATAATTTTTATGCATGGTTTTATGACATCAAATTGTTGTGAGTGTAAATAGCAAATTTTTAGGTGTTAACTATGTAAATACTTAAGTGTGTGGTGTTTATGTAAATTTCTCAAAAATATAATTTTATATCTAATTTTGAGATTGTTATAGAAGGTTTTGATGTCAATATTGGATGATGGTCATCAATGAATGATGTGGACATACGGTTGCGATTGAATTATGTGCAAGATATTGTTGGACGTTACTAGTGATGTTCATATCTATTCAATATTGCAATTAAGGTTGAACCTTAGTTTTTAAGAGTAATATGTTGAACAACAAATAAATACATAAGTTAACAATTGGTTTGACATTCAACTTCATTTTTTTTATTTCAAATTAAAAGAAAATAAGCTTGTTCGTTTCTTTCTTTTATTGATAAATGAAAATAGTAAGTATGTTGAATCATTTTAGAGCGTAAGGTCTCGTATCATTTGTGAGTTTATATAACCCATATAAGAAGGGTGAAAGATGAGATTGGATATGTTCTCCAGACCTAAAGTTTTGGTATCATTAATGATCCTCCCTCAGTAGAATGGAGGAGATGATCTAATCTTTAAACAAGAGTGAGAGAAGGAAAAGGGAGATCGAGAGAGAGTTTTCAATTTAGATCTACTTTTCTTAGAGCTCCCCTTTTCCACTCTCCCTATCGGATACATAAAGAAAAAGAAAACAAATGAGTTGTCATGTCCGTGACATGCTCACAATGTCTCAATGAAAAGATTATGCGAGCATCAAGAAACTTGTAAATAATGTGAAACATATATCCACCTCTTTAACAATAGTCTTTCTGTTATTTGTCGAGAACCATTAGGTTGACAAACTCATTGGATCTGCCTGAGGAGTGCCTTGATTCCTACAGGGGTGATGGTTGGCATTTTCGTAATTGGTAGGGAGGTTGAACAAGTAAATGTATCTGATAAGTCAATTTGTTAGATGATTTTAACAGATTTGTTAAGGTATAAATTGGTTTTGTTGATATGGGCTATGAATTATGTGATCCGTCGGATGTCCATTAGCAGTGAATTGGTCGAAGAAAGCCCATTTATTCTATTATGGGCCCATGGCGTTTAATTATCCGTATACATTTAATTCTCATATTCTCTTATTTCTTCCATGAACCCTTATAAGAGGAATAAGAGAATGAAAGACATCACCCTACCCGATCTCAATGTATTCTTGTATGAGCACATATTTATTAAGATGTAAGATAGTGTTTCATAAGAACCGATATTCTCTGGTCTATGACGATCAAGAAATGGCTACAGATTGATTGTGCTCATGTATTTATTCAGGCTTTGTGAGCATGATATCAACTTTATCTAGTTCGGACCTTCCCTCACCCTTGGGGGTTATAGTTCTCGTGTAAAGAATAGTCTTTTTACTTACCATCAAGCTTGGACCATTCTTCTCGTGGAGGCCTTAGCTCTCCTACAAAGAGTAGCCTCTTAAACCTCGAAGTAGGGGTATGATTGTCCTTCCTCTAGGAGTATTATTGTCCTTCGTCTAGAAATTTTAGCTTTTTTTCCTGGAGACATCTTAAGAACTATAGTTTTACAATGTATATATATTAAATTGATCATTAAATATTAATATTCTAATTTGCTTACAAACCTATCTAAAATTGATGCACATTAATCAATAAAAATGAATCAGTTCTATTAGAAAAATCCCACAAAAAAAAAAAAAAAAAAAAAAAAAAAAAGAACTGTTACTCAGGGGCTCGGTTTTCCTCTGTAATGATGCGGGTTCAAACGAACAGTGTAGTTGCCCTACAGCTTAAATATCATACAAAAAAATGTATGCCAACAAAGGGAAAAATTATTGCATACATACACCGCATGCAGAGATGTATGCGGTGTCCGATCCTGACCGTAGATCACGATGATCTACGGTCAGGATGTATTTCGGTGGACCCCAGTTTATTTTTTTTTTCAAAAAATTTTTGATTGCATCCTGATCATAGATCACCGTGATCTACGGTCATGATCGGACACCACGTGCATCTCTGCATGCGGTATATGTATGTAATAATTTTTCCAACAAAGGGACCATCTAATATTGTGAGTAAGCAGAGGAAAAAAAATGAATCTTTTCGTGCATCGTGTTTGTTGTCCATATACAACTTATATGCGTATTCTATAGATTCCGGACGCAATATTTTCTCCATTTACATACATATCATGCAACACTTATTCCATATATTTGATTGTGCTTCTCATATTTATATCACCCAAATTTTTCATAAAGTTCAAAAATAACATTTTTTACTTTTAAAAATAAAATATATTTAGCTTTAGATATGTGAATACATATTGATTTGCTCATGTAAAACTTCCTCAATAAATGAAAAAAAAAGGGACAATTACATGCATACCACACATTCATCCATTTTTCAAATTCTCACTCAACTATCAAAATTCCAACCCATATTTTTCATTTGAATCAAATTTTCAATAGCTTCATCATGGCACATATATAACTACATTGGTTCTATAGTTCAACAAAATCACCTCAGGGCTTAGTTTGTAAATATCAATGTTCGGATGGTTTCTATGTAATTATAAAAAAATAAAACAAGGCAGCCAACCCAACACAAGACAAAAGGAGGATCACCGCGCAGCATCGCCGCCATCGCCGGCGCCGGCGACACGCCAAGCGGAGGTGGCGATGAGCGGTCGGTTATGCCATCCAAGCGTAAGACACCCTTCCCTCTCCTCGATCCGATATCCATCTCCTCCACCAAAGAGCGCAAGCAACATACTCGCCTGCTTAAACGCATTCGATCCGAGATTCAAAGCTTCAAACCCCGCACCAGCCATCCTCACCCTCCACTGCTCCAACGTCTCATGCCTCTCCGTTCTCTCCACCCCTTCGCACGCCACCACGTTGCAGATCTGCCTCCCGACAAATACTTCCGTCATCGCCTTCTCCGGCGAACCCTCGGCGGATCCGCCATCATCCATTGAATCGAACAGCGTCGAGTAGTAATGCAACGCTTCCGTGAACTGCTCCACTCGCATTGTGGTTCGCTTCCTGTTCCACCATAGTTAAAATTCGCGGCCGCAATTGGCGGATGGTGTTGAGCACCTTGGTTATTGCTCCTGGAAGTGCATGGAGACCATGGAGTTCGAAGACAGAATTGATGGCGATTGTTTCTGGTTCGACGTCAAGCATGTAGGGTTCGAGATCGGCGAGGGAGTTGGCGACCAGGCCGCGGAACTCGAAGTCAACGTGGATGGTTTTGGCAAGCTGGGCAAGTTTTACGCCGAGCTGTTGCAGCGATTCGGAGTCGTCTGATTGGGGCGGAGCGATTCCGGTGAGGCGGAAGGAAGGAGGGCCACCGGGACGGAGAGCGAGGGCTTGCATTAGGGCTGGCCATTGCATCCCCTGTTTTATACCGAAGTCGATAACGTGAACCCGTCGATGGCCTGCGAAGGCCTCTAGAATGGCTTGATTGGCGGTGAAATGGGCGAACTTGAGATAAGGGCAGGTTTCATAAAAATGCATTTGAAGGATGTCGGAGAAAGCGGAGTCGAGGGAATGGTCTTGGTTGGGGTGGATGTGGTAGATCCGGCGAGCTAGGGCTTCGGCGAAGAAGACGGCCACTTTGCGCATCGCGCCGTGTTGGGAGGATGTTAGGAAGGGAATTTGTTTCATGATTGTATCTGCTAATTTGTAGTTCTCTTCCTGTATAGCTTCCGCGCAGGCTATTAGGGCATGGATGAGGCGGATTCCGACCTCGTGATCAGAGTGTGCCATTACCATCGGTAGAGCCGATGGGGGAACTTCCGATGCCCCAATCAATCCACCGCTGGAAGCGGCCGAAGAAGATGAAGAAGAAGAAAACGAATACGAGGTCCTCATCCGCTTCCAGTCGTTTGATCTGACATGGGGTTCCGATCCACAATCAGACTGGATACCCACAGCTGATTCGGCCGGATATGGGTATCCCAACCAGGAAGACACACCGATGGGAGAGGTTTCTTGAGCGCTAGGGTTTGGAAATGTCACCGAAGGCGACGACGGGGGGTTGAGCTCGGAGAGCATGTTCTCCACCCAACTCCACAGATTGGAAGGGTTATAGTGGACGGCATCAGAAGCGAGATGAGAGAGAAGGGAATCTTCCTGCATGGAGCTGTTCCCCATAGCTTCGTCCAGCAGCTCCAGCTTCTGAGCGAGATCCGCCATGTCTGAGGGCCTGACCTTATATCCGAGAGATGCGAGCAGCTCGTCCATGCCGGCTTCCTTATCCTGATCCATCGCTATCATCTTTCTCTTTACTAGCAGACACTCCTCGTTCAGCCTTCCGCCACTGCTTCCCCTTCTCTCCATCTTCATTCTATGTGTGTTACAGTGTTACAGATGTATATGTCTGAGGCCGGGCGCCATTGCCAATTTAATATACTCTATCAAAAAAAAAAAAATAAATAATAATAATAATAAATGGAATTAAAAAATATATATATATATATATA